TGGGAGAAGCTTTGGCAGTTGCATATGACCTCCAAGAAGATCCAAATTACTCCCAATCCAATTATTCACATCCAGATTCCACAACATTGCCTTTTTCTGCCTCTGCAGGTCAGCAATCTGGAGTTTTGGTCCTTTCTAAAAACCCTTATTATTCCTCATATCCGCCAGCCCAACAGGTGCGATATCATGCTGGGGATCCATACTGGGAGGTTTCTAGTTATCCACAAACCTCCCAATCACGAAACCATGTTCAAGCGGCTGTTCCTATGACTGCATATTTAAATCCTATTCCCGTATCCTCACCCGTTACCTGCCCTCGTGGTCCTGATAATTGTTCCTATTTCATTCAATCTGTCCCCCATCCACAAATGCCTTCTACGGCTTTGACACCATCTCTTGGGGAACCGATTACTTACGTTGAAGGTGGGCCAGCGAGTGAATCAACTATGTCGACAGATTCGATGTTGTCTGTGAGATCAGACACATTTCCTACATATGCACCGTCTTCTGATATGGGATACTCTATAAAACCCGTCTCCCAGCCTCCTGTCATGCCCAATAATGGACATCATAATCCTGGACTTATGAATGCAAATGGGAATTCTCACCATGCTTCCGGTTCATCTAATTCCAGACGGCACGACGATCAAAGACAAGCTGCAGTACCATCTACTGGGTCGGACGATGGATTGTATGAGTTATCAGAAGAGGATGTAAAGGAAATTGACGATATGGTAAGTCAATGACAAATTTATGCAGTCATTGTTTTGCGTCAGTTGTTTAGTCTACTTGCAATCAAGCACGCTATGAGCGATCAAACGCCTGCTCTTTTTTACGTCACCAATTTGATGTTTGCTTGATTGTATAGAGTGCCTTTAAATATCAAAATTTGCCCTCAATATTTTGCTATTTGATCTCATAAAAAGTAGTGCTTTGCAATCAAAATAGATATATCGAGGTTGTTTCAGCGTGTGTGTGTGTATGCGTGTGCGTGTGTGTCTAGTTTTTACATTGCCTACGCCGACTAAGATGTGAATGCAAATTAGTATCTAAGTAAATGTTGCATCGATTATACACTTTCTCTCCATCTCTCTTGGATGGTTAAACACTATCTCCTCTTTAAATGGACACTAATTAAGGCAGATTTTCATTTCAAAGAACACAACATAGCCTTGAACGGGAATTACTATATTATGGTTCAACTTTAGAATTGATTATTTTCATTGGTTCTTTTGATTTATTTTAATTGGCTGGAATTTTTAACCAATAATGTGAAGCAATGAAATCGATGATCAATTCTTACTTATTCTTGAGGCATGTGAATGTCCTTTAAACTCATTAGCAATCGTCTTGAAAAGCATTAAATCGAAATTGCATCCATTGGCCTAGTCCCACGTAAAAAATTCAGGGACCATAGATATCATCAATCGTATTGTCATTTGTCTTTTAAAATGAATTCTTGACCTTTCAGTATCTAAGGGCTAACTCAGGTTCGTAAGTATTGGCATGCTTAATTTTGTTCCATTCGGCAAGTATTTTCTTTGTTTACTACAATGAAGACTTAGTTCTCACGACTTCGTTGATGCGCTAAGTTAAAAGCGTTGATTTTAAACAAAAGGATGGAAAATTAATTATCGTAATTGTTTTTTTATTAGTTAAAAAAAAGGGGATTTGAATAGGACTTTTAGACTCCCTCTTGGAAATATTTGTATCCATTTAAATCGATTCCAGACATCCATATTTCAATCAAGGACAACAGATGGTTTTCCTTTTTGTGTTCTCTGCCTCCCCTCTCCCCCCCCCTTCCCCCTTCTCTTAATTGGTCCATCCTAATTGGTTGCCTCGAAAGGCTATATCTTTCTAACTTCTGTCAATCTACAGTCATCCATAATTTAACAACTTGGCATACTTAACTCTATTGTTTAGATGTTCTAATTTTGGAAGCTAATGTTTTATCGATTGAAAGCAGTTCGAAAACTACTGTTTATGCATTTCTGATTGCTATTGGTTTGACTTAATGGGAAGTTATAACCTTTTAATTAGTTGCTTAAGCGTTTTAATTCAGCCCTAATTACATATTAACAGATACCTAGTAATTTATTGGCAGTATTGGCAGGTTTACTATTGGGGAAACTGTTAATTACTAATTCTGTTGTTAAAGGTCTTATTTATTTATATCAAATGGTAGGCGTTCTGATAGTTATCATTAGCCCTTCAGTTGACTTCAGGCTTCACAGATGGGAAGGAACATCAAAGTGGAAAAAAAGTCGAGAGGGAGGGGGGGGGGGGGGGGGGGGGGAACAGAAGAGTGCTTCAAAGACGAAGGTAGAAAAAGGTAAGGTGAGTACGAAGAAAGGGGTCGAATATGACAAGCAGGGGGTCGTGGTAGTTTGAAGTCAGAAGTCAACTACCCATTGATAGACTTTTTTGCCGTATGAATATACGTTGCCCAGGGTGTAGACTTTTTTGTCGCATGAGTATACGTTGCCCAGGGTGTACTCATGGTAGTTTGAAGTCAGAAGTCAACTGCCGGTTAATAGATGGTAGTTTGAAGTGAGAAGTCAACTGCCAGTTAATAGTATGGTAGTTTGAAGTCAGAAGTCAACTGCCGGTTAATAGGGATCTTTTTGCCTTATGAGTATACGTTGCCCAGGGTGCACCACATTTTGCCGTATGAGTATGCGTTGCCCAGGGTGCACCACGTTTTTGCCGTATGAATATACGTTGCCCAGGGTGCACCACGTGATAGACTTACTTGCCGTATGAGTACACGTTGCCCAGGGTGCACCACGTGGTGCCTTATGAGTATACGTTGCCCAGGGTGCACCACGTGGAGCCGTATGAGTAAACGTTGCCCAGGGTGCACCACGTGGAGCCGTATGAGTATACGTTGCCCAGGGTGCACCACGTGCCGTTTGAGTATACGTTGTCCAGGGTGCACCACCTGGAGGTAAGTCTATCGTGAGTATACGTTGCCCAGGGTGCACCACGTGGAGGTGTATGAGTATACATTGCCCAGGGTGCACCACGTGGAGGTAGCCGAATGAGAATACGTTGCCCAGGGTGCACCACGTGGAGGTAAGGTGTGAGTGTACGTTGCCCAGGGTGCACCACGGACTCTTTTGCCGTGTATACGTTGCCCAGGGTGCACCAGTTTGTTTGCCGTATGAGTATACGTTGCCCAGGGTGCACCACGTGGGCAGTTTGAAGTTGGGTGATGGCAGTTTGAAGTGAGAAGTCAACTGCCAGTTAATAGACTTTTGGTAGTTTGAAGTCAGAAGTCAACTGCCGAATAATAAAGTGGCAGTTTGAAGTCAGAAGTCAACTGTCGGTAAATGTAATTTTGCATAGTTTGAAGTCAGAAGTCAACTGCCAGTTAATAGATTTAGTAGTTTGAAGTGAGCATACGTTGCCCAGGGTGCACCACGTGGAGGTGCCGTTTGAGTATACGTTGTCCAGGGTGCACCACCTGGAGGTAAGTCTATCGTGAGTATACGTTGCCCAGGGTGCACCACGTGGAGGTGTATGAGTATACATTGCCCAGGGTGCACCACGTGGAGGTAGCCGAATGAGAATACGTTGCCCAGGGTGCACCACGTGGAGGTAAGGTGTAGTATACATTGCCCAGGGTGCGCCACGTGGAGGTAAGACCGTATGATTATACGTTGGCCAGGGTGCACCACGTGGAGGATTTTTGCTGTATGAGTATACGTTGCCCAGGGTGCACCCGGACTCTTTTGCCGTGTATACGTTGCCCAGGGTGCACCAGTTTAGACTTTTTTGTCGCATGAGTATACGTTGCCCAGGGTGTACTCATGGTAGTTTGAAGTCAGAAGTCAACTGCCGGTTAATAGATGGTAGTTTGAAGTGAGAAGTCAACTGCCAGTTAATAGTATGGTAGTTTGAAGTCAGAAGTCAACTGCCGGTTAATAGGGATCTTTTTGCCTTATGAGTATACGTTGCCCAGGGTGCACCACATTTTGCCGTATGAGTATGCGTTGCCCAGGGTGCACCACGTTTGTTTGCCGTATGAGTATACGTTGCCCAGGGTGCACCACGTGATAGACTTACTTGCCGTATGAGTACACGTTGCCCAGGGTGCACCACGTGGTGCCTTATGAGTATACGTTGCCCAGGGTGCACCACGTGGAGCCGTATGAGTAAACGTTGCCCAGGGTGCACCACGTGGAGCCGTATGAGTATACGTTGCCCAGGGTGCACCACGTGCCGTTTGAGTATACGTTGTCCAGGGTGCACCACCTGGAGGTAAGTCTATCGTGAGTATACGTTGCCCAGGGTGCACCACGTGGAGGTGTATGAGTATACATTGCCCAGGGTGCACCACGTGGAGGTAGCCGAATGAGAATACGTTGCCCAGGGTGCACCACGTGGAGGTAAGGTGTGAGTGTACGTTGCCCAGGGTGCACCACGGACTCTTTTGCCGTGTATACGTTGCCCAGGGTGCACCAGTTTTTGCCGTATGAATATACGTTGCCCAGGGTGCACCACGTGTGCCTTATGAGTATACGTTGCCCAGGGTGCACCACGTGGAGCCGTATGAGTAAACGTTGCCCAGGGTGCACCACGTGGAGCCGTATGAGTATACGTTGCCCAGGGTGCACCACGTGCCGTTTGAGTATACGTTGTCCAGGGTGCACCACCTGGAGGTAAGTCTATCGTGAGTATACGTTGCCCAGGGTGCACCACGTGGAGGTGTATGAGTATACATTGCCCAGGGTGCACCACGTGGAGGTAGCCGAATGAGAATACGTTGCCCAGGGTGCACCACGTGGAGGTAAGGTGTAGTATACATTGCCCAGGGTGCGCCACGTGGAGGTAAGATAGCTTGAACTCAGAAGTCAACTGCCAGTTAATAGACTTACTTGCCGTATGAGTACACGTTGCCCAGGGTGCACCACGTGGTGCCTTATGAGTATACGTTGCCCAGGGTGCACCACGTGGAGCCGTATGAGTAAACGTTGCCCAGGGTGCACCACGTGGAGCCGTATGAGTATACGTTGCCCAGGGTGCACCACGTGCCGTTTGAGTATACGTTGTCCAGGGTGCACCACCTGGAGGTAAGTCTATCGTGAGTATACGTTGCCCAGGGTGCACCACGTGGAGGTGTATGAGTATACATTGCCCAGGGTGCACCACGTGGAGGTAGCCGAATGAGAATACGTTGCCCAGGGTGCACCACGTGGAGGTAAGGTGTGAGTGTACGTTGCCCAGGGTGCACCACGGACTCTTTTGCCGTGTATACGTTGCCCAGGGTGCACCAGTTTGTTTGCCGTATGAGTATACGTTGCCCAGGGTGCACCACGTGGGCAGTTTGAAGTACCAGTCAATAGACTTTTTTCCGCATAAGTATACGTTGCCCAGGGTGCACCACATGGAGGTTGTAAGTACACGTTGCCCAGGGTGCACCACGTGGAGGTATGCCGTTTGAGTATACGTTGCCCATTGGTTTATAGACTTGTTTGCCGTATGAGTATACGTTGCCCGTCAATGGGGTGATGGTAGTTTGAAGTGAGAAGTCAACTGCCACAATGGGGTCATGGTAGTTTGAAGTTAGAAGTCAACTGCCTTTAATAGACTTTTTTGCCGTATGAGTATACGTTGCCCAGCGGTTTATAGACTTTTTGCCGTATGAGGTCTGTTGCCCAAATATGACATACAGTGGGGTCATGGTAGTTTGAAGTCAGAGGTCAACTGCCGGTTTATAGACTTTTTGCCGTGTTAGGGTTAGATCAACTGCCGGTTTATAGACTTTTTTGCCGTATGCGCATACACAATGACATACAGTGGGGTGATGGTAGTTTGAAGTGAGAAGTTGTGACATATAGTGGGGTGAGGGTAGTTTGAAGTCAGAAGTCCACTGCCGGTTTATAGACTTTTTGCCGTATGAGTATACTTTGTAACATACAGTGGGGTCATGGTAGTTTGAAGTCAGAAGTCAAGGCATACAGTGGGGTCATGGTAGTTTGAAGTCAGTGGTCAACTATACAGTGGGGTGATGGTAGTTTGAAGTGAGAAGTCAACTACCAGTCAATAGACTTTTTTCCGCATAAGTATACGTTGCCCAGGGTGCACCACATGGAGGTTGTAAGTACACGTTGCCCAGGGTGCACCACGTGGAGGTATGCCGTTTGAGTATACGTTGCCCATTGGTTTATAGACTTGTTTGCCGTATGAGTATACGTTGCCCGTCAATGGGGTGATGGTAGTTTGAAGTGAGAAGTCAACTGCCACAATGGGGTCATGGTAGTTTGAAGTTAGAAGTCAACTGCCTTTAATAGACTTTTTTGCCGTATGAGTATACGTTGCCCAGCGGTTTATAGACTTTTTGCCGTATGAGGTCTGTTGCCCAAATATGACATACAGTGGGGTCATGGTAGTTTGAAGTCAGAGGTCAACTGCCGGTTTATAGACTTTTTGCCGTGTTAGGGTTAGATCAACTGCCGGTTTATAGACTTTTTTGCCGTATGCGCATACACAATGACATACAGTGGGGTGATGGTAGTTTGAAGTGAGAAGTTGTGACATATAGTGGGGTGAGGGTAGTTTGAAGTCAGAAGTCCACTGCCGGTTTATAGACTTTTTGCCGTATGAGTATACTTTGTAACATACAGTGGGGTCATGGTAGTTTGAAGTCAGAAGTCAAGATGTCAACTGCCGATTAATAGACTTTTTTGCCGTATGAGAAGTGATAAGTCAACTGCCGGTTAATAGACTTTTTTGCCGTATGAGTGGGTTGCCCAGGGTGCACCGCGTGGAGGTAAGTCTATCGCAACAACTGCCGGTTAATAGACTTTTTTGCCGTATGAGTATACGGTGCCCAGGGTGCACCACGTGGAGGTAAGTCTAAATATACATTGCCCAGGGTGCACCACGGAGGTAAGTCTATTGCACACCCCATGATACCTATCATAACGCCTGCCATTTGAAAGTACGTTGTCCAGGGTGCACCACGTGGAGGTAAGTCTATCGTATTCTTAAGAATAATTGTTTAGAAAACCAGCAAGGGTTGAAAGTTGCCCAGGGTGCACCACGTGGAGGTAAGTCTATCGCACGCTGTCCAGGGTGCACCACGTGGAGGTAAGTCTATCGCACACACCCCTCCGCTTCCAAATAAGATGTTGATAGTGAAGGCATATTTCCAGGGTGCACCACGTGGAGGTAAGTCTATCGCACACCCACTTGGCTCTCCCCTCAAATTTCAACCCTACACGGATGGGCTGTTAAAGGTCTTAATACTTCCTATTTGGTGACATTACTCTATTCGATTTTAGCTTATGCAAAATCCTCAAATAACATCGAGTAGGCATTGGAAGTACTACATTGAGACCAATGAGTGGACTAGAGCCACCTGCGCCCTGATGGCTTGTCTGTTTACCCGAGACCAAATGGCCAATTCCACTGTGCTTGGTCGAGGTGGATCCCAAAGAGAGCGCCTTCCAACAAATTTGGTTGCTTACGTTGTCAGTAAGTAGCAATTTTTTTTGCCTTCCTTCATAATAACCTCAGATATTTCTTTAATAATTTCAAATCGCTTGTTTTCTTTTGCGAAGCCTCACATTGGTTGGATGGGTTTAACTTATCTAGGGGTTGAGGCTATCCCTCAAATAGTACATCATTATTTAAATTCAGTCTCGCTAGAATTGTGTGTTCACTTCATGACTGACCTTGAGAATCAACAAATCTTAGTCGACGTCGCCTAATTCTAATTGATTGATGTGAATCAATTAGTCATAACTCATCGCCCCGATATTTCCAGTTTGTTTATTTAATTACGTGCGATCCCTTAGACTGAAATTATCAATTTTTTTTTAATTGAAGTCAATTCCACTGCAGATATTACTCCCTACTCCTTGAGAGAGTTTTATTTTTGGTTGAATAGCGGTTGAAGCGGCTGATATGTGATGCTTTTTAAGCCCTTCTATCGACCAATCACTACATATTTGTATATATTTTTTTCTTTGATGCTCGAATTTCGTCACTGATTTAACGCCTAAGTTCCATAAGTACAAAGAATCGAACACTATCGAATGGGGAATGGAAAGTCGCTGTCATTGCAAATAACTGAAAACGGTACTTCCTGAGTTTCAGCACCCTGCACATTTTCAATGAACAGATTTCGTTTGATCAGATGCCTTGTAGTGGGTACAGCAAGCAAGAAAGATCTTAATGCCCAAACTTGTATCTAGCTCGAATTTTGCTAATTTTCATTACGTACGTAAATGAAAATAAATAGATAAACGAATAGCCCCTTAATTTGCTTATGTCTATGTCTCCATTAATTCGCGTTGATTCTATGTTTTTAAAGCTTTTTTTGTGATCACCATGCGACAAGATCACCTCCTCGTGAGACTTCATTTGCAAACAATAAAATTAAGGTTAATCAATAAGATGGTGTCTATTATCCTGTCTGAAGAGGCTAGAGGACACCTGGGCTGGTAATGATTGTGCTAGCTAATTAGCAATAAGTGTATCTGTTTTCACTTTATGCCTTATGACAATTTACAGACAATAAGATTTGAGTTAGTCGATAAGTTGGTGGTTGGTACCCACAGCGTCTGGTTTATTAAATATGACGTCTCTCTTCACTTGCTATTGAACGTGTCACAGTGTGGTTAAGTAGCACGATTGATAGGTGATAATGCTGATACTTGAGTTGACGCTATTATCGATCATTGTGTCTATTGTTTATTTTAGTAACTCATTCCTTTTGGCACAATATAACGTGAATTACTTATTTATTACAAAAGTTGATATTATTTGAAGAGAGGTTAGTTGGGTGGGGTGGGGGGGGGGGTTGAAATTTGAAAATATTGTCAATAAAGTTATTAAAATGAAGTCTATGTATTGTAAGATGTTTATATCTGCTATTTGATTTGCTCAATGAGTTGATAGGTAATACAGGGGAAATTTAAAGTTGGCCCTCTATAATGACGCCCCCTTTCAAAAAATAGGTACTCAGTGTTCAGCATACTGTAAAATCAGTTGTTTGAGAACAAAGCAGTTAATGAGTCATTTCAGGACTACCTATTCAAATCAATACTAAGTCAGTTGTGTAAGATTCCACTTCACCGGTTCCACTTTAAAGTCAGATCAAAATCCATTTCGGTTATCTTTGTCGATAGTTGATCAATCAATAGGCTCTGGGCACTTTTAGAACACCTGGGTAAATATTCTTGAAATCTGAACTTTGGAACGTTAAGTCGTGAAATTGAATTATAAGGGTTTCAAGTGCCAAAGCTGCATCGGAGAATCAAATAATGCCATAATTTACGTTTGTGATTTCTGCTCAACTTCATCATTCACATTATCTCTCTCTCTCATTCAGTACTTGCTTTGTTAGGGCTATAAAAACGCGCTTAATGGAAATTGACAGGGCACTTCATGTGAGGTAGGTGTGTTTTAAATAACTAACTAATCATTCTCATCTCATTTGTTTTAAGTAGGAATATGCTTACTTCAGGTTCTTATAGTTGTGACTTTACACTCTAGCCTATATCATTCGTGGATGAGTTAGTTTCAAGGCCGATGACAAAATGGAAACTGGAGGGGTGGGGGTGGGGGGGGGGTTGGATTTGAGATCCGTCTATGTAGGCTGCCAACTAGTCAATTATTTAGAACTAGAGATGAATGTCTATATTTGTCAAAAATTCTAGGTTTGCCTTCTCGTCATCCGCCTTCATTGCTTTTCGCAATCGTGCATCCTTGTGCACAATGTGGTTGTTAGAAGATGCTGCTATAGGCGTAGTCACCTGTCCC